GAAGACGACCATAGTTCTATTTCTATTTGACTCCAGTTTGCAGTAACAATATTATAAGTTTAGGAGGAGAGGTGGGATACAGTACCCTCAAGAACTGCGCGTGAAACCAAATGTATCAGGCCATGAACGCACGCAATCAGACATACCGTAAGGCGGTTCAGTTCAGCGTTCTCGCTCCCTGGCCGCACCTCGCGCTCTCTCCTGTGTGCATTTACGGCCTGGCACAGTTTCACGCGCAGTTTTTGGGGTACTGTACCCCGCCTATTCACCTAAATTTATAACCTTGTGTTGCTATAGATATAGGAGGAATACCTGGGTGACGATGTCTTTGTTAATGACCCATTCTTCGACATTCATGTCGTCCTTCGACCAAACAATCACAGCCGAAGGCACGGCTTTGATTCGACAACGAAGAAGCATAGGTTGTCCTGCAATGTGATTTATTGCTATATCTAGTAGGGATCTTCAAGGAAGCGAATGAGCACTCGTGCGCGGAGCGCTATCCCTTCTATCCCGAGATCACATTCGAGAGCGCTCACGCTCCGCGATGGCGCGCGTCGCCGCGCTACAATAGCAAAACGCTCCAATCCTACAGACGCGAATGCAGCCGCAGAAGGGAATCGATCAGCGTTAGCCGCTCGCGTTTCGAAAGAGCGTAGGATAACAAGAGATTGAGCGCTGCATTCGCACAGTTTGGTACCCTCCTAGTCCTCTATACACTTCCAGATCTCTAGCGGCCAACGCCGACCAACACCAGGCTGCGTAATTAGGCAAAGCGTATCCTCCTATTCCTCCATACTCTTTCAAAACACAAGCGACCGGCGCCGATGGATTCCCACATGCGGTTGCGTTCTCGTCAATAGCACTGAAGAGCTGTTTCGACTGCAGGGTGTCGACGCGCGCATCATCGCGAAGTCTGAACGCTGTTTCAGTTATGATCTTGGGGTTTCAGCTAGCAGGTCAGAGCCTCACTCGTCATTGGTAGCGAACAATGCCTTGTTTTTTGTCAGAGCGACGAGCGAGACTCTGACCTGTCACCTTAGACCCTAGTCTCTAATGTGAGGTATTTTGAGAAAAAGGAGGGGTAACGCCGCGAGAACGGAGCCTTTCACGGTGCGGAGCTTATCGGTAATTCTCAGGACGCTGAAAATTCCCAACTAGAGCCAGAATTTTGCAAGGAATCGCGAGGGTAGCAAGCATAGTAGCAGGATTCCGCACAGCAAGGAGCACCTCCTGAAATAACGGAAGGTAATAAGAAACAAAAACTCTACCATCAATGAATGAAGCCGAATGCAGCGGCTCTATTATCTTCGGTGCCGATTCCTCTGGGACATCAGGTGGAACCATCTCGAATGACTCGTCTGGCCCTGAAATGTGATCTATCAGAGTATAATTGTCTGATATTGCCTAAGGTAACAGTACCATACGAGATAAAATCAACTTTTCTCTTTCTGAGTTCAATGTGGGTAAATGTGCGTTAGGTCCCTAAAACTATGCTTTGCACGGTAGGCGGTCAAGCTGATTAAATGGGAGGAGGCAATTAGCTCGATGACGCCCGCCTCCTCTTACTGTATGTATTGAAATTAATCGCCCATTTCCGGCTGGGACTCTGGCCATTTCTCCACATACTACTTATCGTTTGCAGGAAATTGGAGTTTTTAGGCTCTGGTCGCTAGAAAAATGTAACTGGGGAAGCGCGCTAGCTTGAAGCACAGCATTGGTCTAAACTCAAGACGCCAGGTCTAACCCCATGGGATGGTGCACATTGTCGCGCTAACGCTGCTCCCCTGCTCTGAATGGAAAGACACAGACGGGTATCGATCGGCGCCGGTCGCTGGTGTTTCAAGAGAGCATAACGGAATACGAGGGTATCAGACAGTACGACTAGGCGTCATGAACCAGCAAGTTCTTGTTCTGCGACCGCTTTGCAAATCTCTTTATTTCACGTGCCGAATCATACTGTCTGGCACCCTCCCATCCTCTTACACTCTCCCAAAACCCCAGCGACCGGTGCCGATCGATACCCGTCTATGGTAGCGTCCCGCCCATAGCAATGGAGTGCTATTTTGACAGTAGCGCGTCGACGCGTGTTACCGCGAATTCTGAGCTGAACGCTTTA